AGCCCACGTGTGAGCAGACCCTATGCTGTGTCCTTTGGTGACCTGTGCATTCCCCATGTCTCAGCTCCTGAAAAAGATCCCCGTTAAACAGAGATGAGGAAGTAGGAGCCAGAGAGTATGAGGGAACCCCTCACCCTAGGGGGATGGGCACCCACATACACCTTGCTAGGTGCTGATTATGACAATCCAAGGCCAGGCATGTGGTCTCCACAAGGAATCCAGCTCTGGTTTTGGCCAGTGCTGTCTCAGGCTCGCCTTGAAGGTCATTTACTTTTAAGATGTGCACTGGGGAGCCTGGTCTGAGGGGACACAGCCCTGTCCTCAGGGGCTGATCCATGAGAGAACAGGGATGGCCTTCAAAGAAGCACTTCAGCCTCTACCACCTTCCTCAATTTTCCCAACTGCTCCGCAATGTGCATGAGCAGGAATCTAGAGATTGGGAAACTGAGGAGAGTCTGAGTCTCCCACCCACCACCCCCAGTCTCCCTCACTCATGCCCCATCTGCTGCCCATGGGCCCCAGTTGATTCTGGGAGTGGCAGCTAAGCCTGGCATTCAGGCACTCTGAGTCTCCAAACCAAAAAAAAAAAAAAACCCACCAAGTCAATTCCAACGCATAGAGACCCTATAGGACAGAGTAGAACTGCCCAATAGGATTTCCAAGGCTGTAAATCTTTATGGAAGCAGACCATCTCATTTTTCTTCTGCGGAGTGGCTATTGGGTTCAAACCACCAGACTTTTGGTTAGCCGGTGAATGCTTTAACCACAGCACTACCAGAGCCCTTTCTGAGGCTTAGGGAGCCCCAAAAGGTTTATGGGGCTCCTGATGAATGGGCCTGTTGAGTTTGGAGGGGGCCGAGCCCGAGTAAACATGGCTGGGTCTGAGCTGCCATTCTCCCCCTACCTACTTCCCCAGGACCCAGGACCAAAATACGACTTCCTGTTCCCGGAGCTGAGGGCCAGACTCGCCCCTCCAAGTCCTGGGCTGGGGCCCACTGGAGGAACATAGCATGCCTAACAGAGGCTGGGGGAGAGGGAGTGGGTACTCTGGTTTTCAGTTGTAAGACTTTACAGAGCCCCTTCAAACCTCAAGTTGTCCATTTCTGAAAACTGAGGTAATGAACAGGAAGAGGTCTGAGGAAGACAGCAATGAGCCCCAGCCTACTGCTTCCCTAGCCAGTGAGTGTGGGGACAGTGGAAAGAGCAGGAGGATGTGCGTGGGCACAGAGGAGGGAGCAGGTCCAGGACTTGAGGATGGTAGGAAAGTCTACCCTGGACACAGCTGTCCACTGCCTTGTAGAGCTGAATAGTGCCTCCCCCCGCATTGGCTCTGGCGACAGAATGACCTACTCTGCAGTGTAGGGTATCCCTCTGAATGCTCTTTGTTGTAGACTTCCTACGTACCCTTGACCAACTCATTCTGCTCTCTGAGCCTCAGTTTCTCCACCGAGAGCCCAAGTATTGACAAGATCCCTGCCTCCCTTTCCAGCTTGTGAACTAGAAAGTACTGTGGAATCTGTAAAGTAAGGTGCCCTCCCCAGGAGCCTGAAGTCCTAGGGAAGGGTAGTTCCTGGAGGCAGGGGTCCTAGGAACATGCCCCAGTGGCTGGGGTGGTTCGAGGTCAGCTGGTTCATGTGCTGGGCAATGGGTGCTGAGGCTGGAATGTGCTGAGCGGCAGCTGCCATGTGAATCATTACACCTCGTCAAGCCAAGCCTGGGACTTCCAGACACAAACCAGCTGAGGCTGGGCTCAGGTGGAAGGACAGCCTCAGGCCAGGGTCTCCAGATTCTGGGGTGAGGTGTCTGGGATCTTGCATGGTCGCTTTCTCCCTGTCTGCCCATATCTTCACCCTCAACATCCAGCTCTAGTTCTGCCACACTCATTCCACAGACCCACATAGGAAGGTCATCTTGCCCATAGCTCCCTGCCTCCATGACCTGCAATGGCATAATCAGGCCCTGAGCCAGGGTGGCACTGAGGGGCAGCCAGAGAAGGCTGCCTGGCTGGCTTCATATCAAGACCTTATGTTTCAGTGGGCAAGGAATCAGATATGGAGTGGCTGTGGGGCTGTAGGGGCGCAGGACAAGGGCTGGGGTGGAACAAAAATTACAACTCTCCTGGCTGGGAGTCACTGGGTATCCAGTGCTGGGAGTCCATGCCTTTTCAGTTTTCAGTTTTCCTGCCTGTGATATGGGTATGACCCACTCCCAGCTCTCACCTAATTCTCAGGGTGCTTGAAACTTGAACGAAGTTCCTTGTAGGGGCTATGCTCATGCCCGGTGGCTGCCTGACATTCCTGAGATAAGGAAAGAGCAGGAAGGGATAGGCAGGGACAGGGACAGACAGAATGAGAGTTGGAGAGAGGATCAGAAGGGCAAGGAGAGGAACATACCCCCCACACCCACACACACACATACACACAGTGGGGCTGAGCTGGCCTAGGGCACCTGGCAGGCAGACTCTTGGAGGGTGGGGGTTGCAGCCCAGGGAACCCAAACTCTGGCCTGACTATACCTCTCCCACCAGGAGTCTGGGACAAAGTCCTGGGCTACAATAGGGCTTGGTAAAAAATAATTAATTTTTCTTTTCAACTGAAAGCTCTGACTCAGGTCTTCTCCTGTCCCCACGTACAACATTCTTGCCCAGGCCTGAGCCATAGAAGCTGCTTGGTGGCCATCCACAGCTTCCTCCTGGCCAACGTGAGTCTGCCCCTCAGCCCCAGGCTGCATTCTAGAAGGCTTTGTGGGCTCCAGGTGAGTGGGGTCCAGGGGAACCCTGGGGCCTGAGCACTACCGGGAGGGACAAGGCTGTAGCACCCACAATGAGTGAGTGTGTGGGTACTCACATTGTGCCATAGAGCAGACTAAGTGTGCTTGTGTGGAGACACAGTCTGTGGAGCTGGCATCATCACAACAGGGGGCCTATGCTGCTGCTCTGGGAGTAATCCCTGCCTAGGACAGAGCCTCTTGGTCCCTTGCACCCCCATTTCCCTCCCTTCACCTTCCTGAGAGGTGAGAAAGCCTGGCTTCCTGCTGCAAGGGGAGGGGGCTACCCAACCAGCTGCTGCCTTAGCCTCAGGTGACTCAGCTGGGTGGGGGGGTGTTTATGAGCAGCCTAAATGGCTGTAAAAGTGGCACCTCACTTCACTTCTGGCCTAGCCATTCCTTCCCCTACCAGCCTCTTGCCTCAAAAAGCTTTCAGAGGGGACCTGGAACTGGAGAGAAGTCTGGGATTGAGGCTTGGATGGAGGTTTAGGCCAGGGTCAGGGTTTAGTGAGGTGTTAGAGGTCAGACTGGGATGAGGACTCAGCCTGGAGTCAGTGTTCATTGTGGAGTAGAGCTCAGTCCAGGATCAGGGTTCAGCTTGGGATTCAGGCTGAATTTGGGGCTAGGGTTGGGACAGTGTCAGGGTGTACGATGACTCAGAAGCAAAGGAGGGCCATTGGTCCCAGAAAGTTGTGTGTGTGTATGTGTGCTTGCATGTGTAGGGAGGGGATGCCCAAGGGAGTGGGGCTGGGCTGCAGAGCTCAGAAAGGTGAGCCTCTGTCTTTCCTGTTTGTGTCTGGTGTCTACCTTGGCCCTGGGATCTGTGTACCTTGGCCAGAGCCCTACACACAGTGGCAGTGGCGGCAGCAGAAGCTTGTCAGCTGAGGGCCGCTACACTAGCAGGGACAGAGCCAAAGTCCAGCCCTTGCTCCAGCCTTGAGCTCCAGTGGCCGCCTCAGCGTTTCCTTCTTCACCCAACCTGGGGATCAGAGAGGGGAATCCCCGCAGGGACTTTCTTCTTACTCCCCACCAGCCAGGTGTTTCCAAAAGCCATTGAAACTGACCTGAAACTGACCAGAAACTGACCCTGGGGCCTGCTTGTCAAAAAAGCAGACTGGCTCTGCCAGGTGCTTGGGTGTACCGGTTAATGTGTGACACCCCACCCCCATGATGGCATGTTAACCAGTGGCCTGGGGGTGAGTAGGGGGGTTAATGGCCCCCACCCAAAGTGGTGGAATGTCCAGCAGGGGACTCTGGGGTGAGGCATGTGAGTTACAGCTAAGGGAATGTCCTTAAGGGGCCCTGGAGCCCACCAGATCTTTTCTCTCTGGCTCTGTCCACAGCCCACCCTGGTCTTCTCAAGTTAAATCTGATTTATTTTCCAGTTTCAGCTTTCTGATATTCAATTTGAGAAAGATTCTCTGCCTCAGCTGCTGGCTTACCTCCCAGGTCCCCCAATCCCTCCATGAATGTTCTGTCCCCTTCACCAAGATGGGTGGGCCAGTGGTCATGGAACCATAAGACTTACATCAGAGTCACTAATAAAGAGATATTTAAAGCTGAGACTGTCAGAATATAAAACCCAAGAACTACGAGTGTTCTATGGTGCCCACTCTGGGCACCTGGGTCCTGTTGACATTCCCAAGCAGCACACAAACCATAGGGGCAGCCCAGAAATCACAATCTCCCAGTAACTGAGGAAGTGAAGCCAAAGAAAGAAGGAGTATCCTTTTTATCACACACAGGAGGGCAATCCTGGGGAAGGAACTACAAGGGCAAAGGCATGGGGAGTAAACATGAGAGGAGGCCTGGAGTCTGATGGACAGTACCTCTTGAGGGGAGTCATCTTTATGCAAAGTTCTTGAGTGCCACAAGAAATTTGAGGGCAGTGGGGCATGGAGAAAGGATATGACCAGAAAAGTGTGTTGGGAAGACAGCTGTGGGTGTGAAAGATGGGTGTGCTTGAGTCTAGAGGAAGTGGGCTACTGGGATGGCTAATTGCAGCTAGAATTCAGCGGCCTTAGAGTTTGATCTTGGGGACCCATTCGCATTGAGGGGAGGCACCATCCCTGAAATGAGGGGCAGGGTTGGGGAATCTGAAGGAGCTTGATTTCTACAGGCTGAATCTGTGGAGCCAGAGAACCCACAAGCCCATAACCCAGGACCCCAGGGGCACCAAACAGTAGAGTTCAAAGTGCCCTGTAAATCACCTAATCAACTGCCCCATTTTATAGATGAGGAAACTGAAGCCCAGACAGCAGGAGTGTCGTGGAGCCCAGGACTTACAACTGGTAAGTGGAGGGAGCAGAGCTGCTACCCGGTCCGAAAGATCCTTTCCAGGACCAAACACTCGAATTAGCTTCCTCTACACCATCCTTAAAATGCCGGACTCCTCCTCTCTCTGGCCTCAGGTTCACCACCTGGTACAGGAGATGGTCAACTGGGGTCGAGCCCATCTCCTACTTGAGTTCAGCATTCCCTAGCCGGCCGGAGCAGTAAGCCCCGCCCCCGTCCGGCCCGAACTCCGCGTAGACTCCTCCCTCCCCTCATCAAGGCGGAGGGTCCCTAGCTAAGCTGGCCTAGAGTGGGGGGTGGGAGTGGGGGGTGGAGGTGGGGGATGGGGGGGTGGCGGAGCCTGAGGGCAGGGCTCGGGACTGAGCCCCAGGGCCTGTACTCTCTAGGTGCGCGGGTGGGGCCAGAGGTGGGACTGGAGAGTCTGGGTTGGTGTCTGGATGGTCGAGACTCGCAGAGGCTTGGACCCGGGGAGACACAGGGAGAGGGACTTGAGGCAGAGACCCGGGCGGAGAGGGGCAGCGGGTCTAGAGCTCTGCGGACACACAGCCCCTAGAACTAGGGTTGGGGGGTGGGGAGGGGTGGCGCAGGAGGGCAGAGGTGGCGCAGCCAAGCTTGAAGCTAGCGGCTGAGCCGTCTCCCCAGGGACCTCAGCACAGCCCTTGCGGGAGCCCCACGGGCGAACAGACAGCGCTGCGGCCGAGGCGCGCAGGGGTACTGGGCGGCCTCCTCCGGAGATCCCCCTGTGAAAAGGGCCTGCTCCTCGGCTGAGGGCTCCTATTCACCCGCCCGGGCCAGATAATCAGAAAAAAATAAAAGTCTTGCCTTCCTGAGAAGAGAATGAAGCAGCAGCGGCAGCGCCCTGGGCCACGTTCCTGGGCCCCAATGTCAGAGATTCCCGGGTCCTGTCCCCCAACACTCACATCACACCCTGTGGCTTTGCGACTCTGGGCCAAGGCCTCTAAAGAAATGCCCTGGGGTGAGGGGCTGCAGGCTCCGCTCTGCCCCTCGGTACAACCGCTGTCGGAGGCGACGAGGGGGTGGGGGAGCGGGAGAGGCCCGGGGAGGGCGCAAGGGAGGATCGCGGCGCCCGGCCGCGGGGGAGGGGGAGCGGCCGACGCCAAGGCGAGGGACGCGCACGGCGGGCGGCGGCTCCGAGGGGCGGCCAGGCGGGGGCTGCTGGAGGCCAGGCCGGCAAGGGGGCATCCCGAGAACTGCATGAAGTCTCCCCGGGGCCGCGGACGGGGCGTTGTCCTGGGGAGGCTGTCGGGGGGAGCCAGACATCCATGGCAAGGCGGGGACCGCGGCGGCGCGCTCGGAGTAAGTCGGGGCTGGGGGCCGGCGCAGGAAAGAGGGGGCTGGAGTTGGGTCCGGGTGACTCCAGACTTGGCCGAGGCGGCCGGGCTGGTTTGACTGTCTCGGTGTCAGTCGGCGGCGCCTCCTCGGAGCCTGGTGGAGCCGCCAGCCCCGAGCCGCTCAGCTCGGTGGCTTTTTTGGAAACTTGCAAATGTTTTCGTAGAGAAAGAAGGGGGAGGGGAAGGAGAGAGCGAGGGAGTGACCAAAACGCAGCTCGGGGCCGCGGGAAGAAAGGAGGCCAAGGCCGGGGGAGCTAGAGACGGACTGACAGACTGACAGAGCAGCCGGGCAGCGGGCGCGCTCAAGAGGCGCGGGCGCAGGCGGAGCTCCGGCCGAGGATGTGGAGAGGGTGCCGGAGGCGGCCGCGGTGGGGATGGGAGTCTGGGGGCCTAGGAGCCGGGAACTGATGCCCCAAACATCGAATGGCTCAGCGTCGTTGCGAAGTTGGGATCGCATCCCCAAACTGCACGCCCCGCGCGGTTCCAAACGCGCTCCCCGCCCCGCCCCGACCCCCCTATTGAGGCCGGCTGCCGAGCTAAAAATAACAGCCCCAGTAGCCCCCCGCAGACAGCGACCCCGACCCCTCCCCCGCCCCGACCCCTCCCCCACTGGGCGTGGGGAGAAGCCACAGCTCCCAGTTCCCCAAAAGAAAAAAAAAAAGGGAAAGAAAAGAAAAGGCGGCGCGGGGGGATCGGGGGGCGGGCCGGGGGCGGGGGGCCCGGCCATATGGATGTGATTTCTCCGCTCCGAGGCAGACTGGCCGCTCCGCAGCGCTCGGCGCCCGCCCGCCGCCCGCCCGGCCTCCGGCTGCCTCCCTCCTCCCTCCATCTCCCTCTTGCGCGCTCGCTCGCTTGCTCGCTAGCCCTTGGCGCATGGACCTCGCACCGGGCCCCGGGGCCTCGGGCCTCCGGGACGCCGGGGTCCCATAGACCCGGGCGTGGGCGGGGCGACCTGGCCTGACGCAGCTCTGCACACCCCCCACCACCACTACCACCACCAGGGCCGGCGGCGGCGACTGCCCCGAGGGACGCGGCCCTAGGCGGTGGCGATGGGGACCGTCCGGATCGCGCCCGGCCTGGCGCTCCTGCTCTGCTGTCCGGTGCTCAGCTCCGCATATGCGCTGGTAAGTCCTCGCCTGCACTCTAGCACAAACACCCCGCCAGCGGGCCCTGGAAGGGGCTGTGAGGCTTGCTCTGGGGTCCCTTGGGCGATCTAGGGCACAAAGTCTTGGATTTCTAGAATAGTCTGAACTTTCAGCTGAGGGATATCCTCTGAACTGGGATCCTCCGTGCTTGCTGTCTCCAGGCTGTCTGAACTGTGGGCTCCACACAACTGAGGTCTCTCCATCTGGCAAACCTGGATATGGGGCCCCAGGTCTAGAAGTCTGTGGTCGGGGGTTCCTTTCTCCTCTGTTTCTGTAAGCACCATGGCTGGGACTGTGTGTCCTCTGAAGAGGACAGTATGATCTGGTGATGGAAGGCTGGACATGGAGGTCTGGGGTCCCACAGACTTTGCCTGTGGGGGGGCTTCTGTTTTCCATAAGTTTTGTTTGCAATCCAGAATACAGGGCTGTGGGTCCAAAGTTAGAATTATCCAGACCCCCTCCAGCTCTCACAATTGTGCGCATGCACACATGCATGCACACATGCACAGCTTTGCCCCGAGTGGAAGCTGTTTGCCCAGGAAGGTGGGTGTGGTGTGGCATGGAGGAGGATTGGTAGTCTTCTGAAGGAGAGTGACCTCTCAAAACACCCTTCCAGGAGAAGTTTGCAGAGAGGAACTCCAGTGAGTGAAGAGACCCTTGGAAAGACCCTCTTGAGAATAGAGAACAAGAGAGAACACAAGGGAGATGATGAGACAGAATGGGAGAGAATCCCAGAGAGAGAGAGAGAGAGAGAGAGAAAGAAAGCAACAGAGAAATGGTGTAGGGATAAGGGCTCCCCAGAGCAGGAAGAGTGGACAGACCGAAAACAGCAAAGAAAGAGTCAGGGAGAGATAGGCGAAAACAGACAGAAGAGATACCAAGAAGCAGTACTCTTCTTACCCTGATTCAGAGCCTGGGCGCCATTTCCCTGGTGATGGGGAGTGTCTCATCCCCTCAGATCCCACAGCAGCTGTGTCCCAGGAAACCAGCTCATTTCTAAGAAGGCTGTCTGTCTGTGCATCTGACTTCAAGACCCCTGCTGTGCCCCAGGTGAGGCATCTGCCTACCCTGGAGAGAGAGGTCAAACCAAAAACCCAAACTCACTGCCCTAGAGTCAGTTCCAATTCATAGCGACCCCTCCTTGAAGTCATAGCAACCCCTCCTTGGCAGTAGCTGTACAGAAGTAGATTGCCCAACCTTCCTTCCGAGGAATGGCTGGTGGGTTTGAACCTCCAGCCTTCTGGTTAGCAGTCAAATGCCTTAGGCAGTATATCACACCACACTACCAGAGCTCCTGGGGAGATAGGTAAGCACACCTATCTCCTGACCAGCAGCCGATCCCTGCCCAAGACAGAGTCCCAGCCTGGGAGGCAGGAACTCTGGGATTCGTCTAGGTCTGTGATGCCTGTGGACCTTGGGCTAGCCTTCTCAACGCCCCAGTTTCCCCAGCTGTAAAAAAAGGCATGAAAGAAGCATTTGCCTAAGAAACCCCTGGTAGTAGGCTCTCTGTCCCTTTAGCATCTGCATTTACCGGTGGCCAGGCCTCATAACTCCGGCCCCAGCAAAGACTTCCCAAAGCCAGAGACATCCTCCCTTATGAGCAAGGACTTGTTGATGGGGAAACTGAGATTCAGAGGGGTCTAGCACCCTGCCCAGAGGCGCTCCAAGTTCTAATGCTAGGGTGGAGCCATTTCCCTGCCCTCCCCTCAGGCCAGGCTCAAAGTCTTTCCCAGTGGTCCCTTCAGGGACAACACAGCCACAGTGTACAGCCAGCTAGTAGGGCGCAGCGCACACATATGACTGTCGGGAAGACGGGGTGGTGAGTGTGGATGTCCCTAGATTTGTCTGCGTGTGAGATCAGTGCTCTGGGGGACTCTGGGAAAAGTGTATCCATCTGAGTCTGTGTGATTGTGAGTGTGATCTCACAGTGTGTTCGTGACTTGCTAGAGCAAGTGGCATGTGCATGTGTGTGTGCATTTGTGAGCTCGTGTGCATCCAGGTCTATTACTTTCTTTCTTTAATAAATGTTCCTGTAGTACTTTCTACAGGGAGCCCTGGTGGTGCAGTTAAAGCACTCAGCTGGCTACCAAAAGTCAAGGGTTCAAACCTATCAGCTGTTCCACAGGAGAAAAATGAGGCAATCTGCTTCCATAAAGATTTATAGCCTTGGAAACCCAATGGGGCAATTCTGCTCTGTCCTAGGGGGTCACTATGAATCGGAATGGAGTGGGTTAGTACTGTCCACATACAAGATGCTGTTTGAAGCATTTTACATATACTAACTAGTTTCATTTTCACAACCCTCACGAAGGTCCAGTTATTGCCCTCATTTTATAATTGATCCTAATCACACAACCAATATGACTTATTTTTCTCCTGCCAACCAAGTGTCAAGCTCTGTGCCTCTGTATGTGTTGGGGTGGGTAGGGACCCCCAGGGCCGCACACTGCTCTCTGGGGGGGGGGGTGATGCACATGAAGAGAATGTGTCCGGCCTAGCCCTGACCCAAGGCTGAGGGCTAGAGCAGGAGGAGGGATACCTTGGGTTGGGGCTGTCTAGGGACCTGGCTGGGGAGTCTGTGGCTGGACTCTCAAGCAGTGAGTGCACTGGCTTCAGAGCTACAGGATAGGGCTCAAGGGGTAAAGAAGCAGCCTGCTCACTCACTCAGTGCCCTGTGGGCCCTTTGGGTTCAGCTAGAGCCAGTGAGAAGCTGACAGCCTGCCAGCTCCCTCTTCTGAGCCCAGGGGCTGCCGTTCCCAGGCAGATCACACTGGTGCCCACCAAGTCTACCAGCCTCAGCTGATAGCCCCTTGAGGCCAAACCTGTATGTTACCTGCCTAGCCAACCCAGGACCAGGTTTGCATTTGCAGGGATCTCACAGTTGGGGGCACAGAAGAGCATCCCAGTGAGAGGACACTGAGTATGGCCAGACTTGGCTGGTCTACCTTGTGCCTCAAAGGGAAGAGTAGCTGGGAAGCTGGAAGTGTGAAAAAAGGAAGAGGGGTGAAGTTCAGAGGAAGCAACTGCCTACGTTTGTGAGTTGAGGGTCTGAGTGTGATCTGATTTTCAGGGATGCCTCATCCAAAGGACGCCCTCAGCATGCACAGATGTGGAGTGGAAACTGCAGTGGGAAAGACTCACTCAGGTCACAAAGCCCCTGCTCAGGTCAGGGGCAGGTCTTGAGTGGCAAGGTGTGACCTGGAGGCAAGTCACAGGAGAGACAAGATGTGTGGGAATCTATGGGTCCCTCCCAGCCTGCTCCTGGGGCAGCTGAGTCTCTGTGCTCTTTTTTAAACATAGAAAGGAACCAATGCTTTTTGAACAATGGCTGCCCCCAGATTCTGAGCTAGAAACGGTCACAAAGGTTTGCTCCTTCCATCCATTCACCCACCTATTTTACAGGCAAGGGCCCTGAGGTCCACAGGATGAGTTTGTGGGAAAGTCAGGATTTGAACCTAGGTCTTCGGAATCCTGCACTGAGCTCTTTACTCCAAAGCAGGATGGGACTGGGGCTAGGTAGAGCCCTCATGGCCCACTCTCAGGTTTTCTTTTGGTTTCTTTTCTTCTCTTTCTCCGTTGTTTTTTCATGAAATCCTCTTGCTTTCAATTTTATTTTCTTATTTTTGATTTCACAACTAATATGTGATTATGTTCTTTTTTATAAAAGGGTCAAATAATATAGATTAAACAAAAATTCTTGACCACTCCCAAGACCATTCGCCCTCCTAAAGAAAGCCATTTGCAACAGCCTGGGTTAGGGGATGTCCTCTCAAACAAGTTTTCTTTGTATTTCCAAGTGGTAACTCTCTATGTAGATATCAAGTAAATAGCTTTGTTGTGTTTTTTCTTTTCTGTTGGTTAATTGGTTGGTTGGTTTTTTAAAAATAGTGCCAATTTATAAGTTGGGCTCTGCCATATGCATTTTTCTCCTTAATGGTGTGTCTTGCAGGTCTTCATGTCAGTTAATACATATCTATGAGTCAGCGCTGACTCGATGGCACATAACAACAACAACAATGTTTTTTTTAACATTATTTAGATTATTTCTGCATAAATTGTGTGTGTGTATATGTGTGTGTGTGTTTGTATATATGTGTGTGTGTTTCCAGGTTCATAGGGAAGCTCCTTGAAATACCTTCCTGTGTCTTCAGGTGACCACTAGGATAATTCTAGATTCTGTCATCGCTGAGTCTGAGAACATGCACATTTTTCATTTTAATTTAAGTGGCTAAATTGCCATCTGAAAGGCCTCTGCCTGTTTGTACTCGCACCAGGAGTAAGTGACCAGGAGGGCCTCTTTCCCCATGTCCTCGATCTCATAGGATATTATGAGGATTATTTTCTTCATTGTTTCCATTCTGATAGGTTAAAATACTGTCTCTTGGCATTTTAATTTGCCAATTACCAATGCGCTTGTGGCCTTTACATTGGTTTGTGGTCCATCTTCTAGAGAGTTTGCTCAGAGCTATTACCCATCTTTCTGTGGGTTGTTTATCTTTCTTGTATTGATTGGTTGAAGCTTTTTATACCACCTGCCCTTAAACAGTCCCTCCTGCCCCCATAAGCTCTGGGAACTGCCTGTGGACAGAGCAGAGGTGGGGGGGGGAGCCCTCCCTGGAACTTGGGTTTTCTTTGGAATGTTTTAGTAAGATGTTAAGAGGCCTCCCCCAGATTCCTGTCATGGGCCTTCTGGGGACACTCCTTGGTCCAGCCACCACATCAGGAAGGCATCTCTTTCAGAGAGAGAGCAAGCTGCAGGTAAAAGAAAGCATGGGGTGATAGGCTTACACACCTTTGAAATTGCCTGCAAAATGTGATGCAACTGAGACAAGCTGCAGGGTTTTCTCAAATGCACAAAGACATCAGAGACCTCTAGACCCTTCAGCTCCCTTACTCTGGGGCCGGTCTGGTGCTGGAGGTGAGGCCTGATGGCAGCCTTTGGTAACCAGACTGCAGTTAGGCAGTAAGGCTGGGATGCA